GCAGGTCTCTCTCCAAGCCAAGCTCTTTACTACCCCACTATATGGTCTCATAAAACCTGAGAAGTTTGATGGGCACTCCATGGGTTCCATCACCACAGCAAGGCCAAAGGGAAAGCCACAATCACCACCCCTTTTAATTCAAGGAAATGTGAAAGTTTTGCATTTGTAATGGGAAAAAAAAATAGCTCTGCCTTCAGTATGATTTTGGCTAGGGGAAAGTATCCTTGAAGGAATTATTGTCAAGACTTACATTATGTCCTCTTACCCAAGTGTAGGCATGCTTCACCAAGCATGGCCTGTGTTTCATGAAAAGTAGTTTTCTAGAAAAGAATTGTTGACATATGGGTATGTTAGCATCCTGGATAAAAACTTAAAGGACTCTTCCAGTTTATGTTGTGAGAAACTCTAGCTTTCCTTTAAATATTACTACCTGCATTCTCAGAATCTTAGGTGGATAGCTTCAGAAAAGTTACGTAGCCATGAACTTTTATTGAAAACTACCTGTTTGCCAGTTCTCCAAAGCAGGTATTTTCAAAAGTGTTGCTCAGCAATCACCTGCTGCTAGGCCTGGCTGCAAAGCTATCTGGTCAAAAGGATAATCTTTGCTATCTTGCTTGAGCTTTGTGGCATGGAGTGGTGGATATTTTAGAGGGTCTTTGAAATACACTTTCCCCTTTCAATTCAGTTTAGTACAATCACAGTGTTTAAGGTGTGCAGAGACTGGGCCCCCTGGCCTGCTTTCTCCTGGAAAGGAAGAAGAAAGGGAAGAGATGAGATCACACTGCACCCCTGCAAAGCCCACTCTGGGTCAACATTGCTAATTTTATTCAACCTTCCTCCACGTAAGAGTCTAGTGAAGGTACGGAAATCAGATTTTGTGGTCAAGAAAAATGAGGCCTTGACCTCAAAAAGCTTTGAGGTCAAGAAAAAGTAACCTGCATGATGACTTTATAGGGATTAATATAAGTATACCCATAAGTATAAATAACAGTTTTAAAAGATTATATGGAAGGGACTGGAGATACCTGAAGGATCTAGTTGGGTTGGTAGTGAAACATATCTGTAGGATAAGAGCAAAATGAATTAAAAACCATGTGAATGAAAACATGGAACTGAAAGTGTTGGTTGATATACCTTGGAAACATTACAGTTTTGGTTGGTTTGGCCAAATGTATCTTGGAAATAGAATAGAAACAGAGAGTAATACCGTAGTGGAATCACCTTAAATCTCAGTCCCGGAAGTGTGAATTTAATTAAGTTAGCAATTAGAACCCATTGATAGTTTTATCTTCTTTTGTACCTTTTCCCCTTTGTTTTCAGTAGATGACCTTGCTTTAAGACAGAGAGACCATAGAAAGCTGATCTCTTAAAGAAGTCATACATTTTTTTTTTTTTTAAAAGGACCAAAAGATAATACTTTCCACTATTTCTCAACTCAGTAAATGGCACCTCCAGACATATATCGCTCATCCTTCAATCCTGTATTGATTACATCTACCTGCAAAATACATTCCAGTTCTAATGCTTGCTCACCTTTTCCCTGGTACCACTCCAGCCCAAGGACCACTATTTTGAGAAAAGAATAGTGGTGAGAATGGGTACCTACTATTTTAGTGCAGGTCTGTCCACTGGTAAGAGAGTTAAGAAGAAATCCCATAATAGATAAATCATAATGTATTGGTTATAGAGTGAATAAAAGAGATAAAAATGTAGGGGGAAAAGAGTGGTTTGAAATGATGGTGGTCTGACTGGCTGGTTGTAAGGCCAGTGGTCTGACTGGCTGGTTGTAAGGAATTTATTTCCCATTTGTTCCAGGCAGGATTTATATTTCTTCATTAAGATGGGTCATTGAGGAGGAAATAGTCACACATTACAAGGGATTAATATCCAAGATATATAAAAATTTATTCGATTTAGCAGTGAAAAAACAAATAACCCAATTAATGGGCAGCAAATCTGGACAACTCAGCAAAGAGCACATCCAAATAGCCAATAAATACATGGAAAAATGTTCCTCATCACTTTTAATGCAAGAGATGCAGGTTGGAAGCACAATGTGCTAACATCTCATACCTGTAAGAATAGCACGTATTAAGAAGACCCCCAACAACAAGTGCTGGAGAGGATGTGAAAAAGAGGAACCCTATTACTCTGTTGATAGGCATGTAAATTGATGCAGTCATTTTAGAAAAGCAATCTGGAGTTACCTTAACAAGTTAAAAATGGAAATACTGAATTACCTAGCAATTCTATTCTTGGAAACCTATCCAAAGAACTTGAAACCATCAACTCAAAAAAATTTATGCTCTACAGTGGTTATTGCAGCATTATTTATAATATCTAGGACCTGGAAATAACCCAAGTGCCCACTGAAGGAGGATTGGATCAAGAATATGTGGTACAGGATGGCCTCACTCATAGCAGGAATCTAGAAAACCTAAATAAGGGACCAGGAAAAAGAATAACTATAAGAAAGAAAAAATCAAAATCAACAAACAACTATGAACCAGAGACACACTATGGGGGGGAGGAGAGATTGGGGTCAAAATAAGGGGGTTGCAATTGTGTGGGGAATATAAAAATAAAATTAAAAAATAAATAAAAAATAAAAAGTATGTGGTACATCCACACAATGGATTATTATTCAGGCATATGGAAAGATGAAATGCTTGTTGTCATTTATAGCAGAATATAAGGAGTTCAAGGGAATTATGTATAGTAAAGCAAGTCAAAATGACAAATATTGGATATTTATGTAGCAGATGACTCAACAAAATAAAATATTTATAAAAACTATAGCACACTAGCAAAAGAAGATTTCTGAGGTTAAGAGGGAGAGGGGAAGTAGATAGCAGTCAAAGGGATATGATGGATGGTATAAGGGCTATCAAGTGGTGGCATGAGAAATTCAGGAAAAAACAAAAAATTTTCTACCCTGGAACAAGAAAACAATCCGTTTTGTTTTTTTTTTCTTCTTTTTCATTTCAATTGGTAGGGTTTCCCAGAAGGCCTTGGAATGATTATCAGAATAGCGAATCACAGATACTCAAAAAAAATTATAAAAGCTTTTAGAAAGCAACAATGTCAACAGACAAAGCTTAGACATTACTGCCCTATAAATCAGCCTGATGATCTCAAGCAGTAATCTCTAAATACTTTTGAGAAAGTAGCTGATTCTGAACTTGACTCAGAAAATGACAGTTTTCATTGTCAACACAATCTTAAAGTCTCCCAGAGTGGACTAGGATTTTGGCAACCTGGCAAGAGAAATGCCTCAGGTAACCAATTCCAGGAGACACTCACATGACCTTTTTTGCTTCAGTATTAACATCTGTTGCTTTGCCTACAAAGTAAACATTCTGGAATGCTAGTTTTGAAAACATCAAATCATTGCATTCAATCTCCCTATGTATGGAGCCTCCCTGGTGGTGCAGGGGTTAAAGTCTCAGTGCTATCAAGCCATCCAGCCACTTTGGCATGAATATGATTCCCAGCCAGGGAGCTGACCAACATGGCACAACAGACCTCTCCTGTCTCACCTGCTGCTCCCCTCAGCAGGGTATTTCAGTCAATCTGCCTGTTCTGCTCCCCAATCTGTCTCTGGTGAATCCTCTCACCCCCTGCACCTCTGGCCTACACCCCAGTTCTTGTATGCATAAATAAATAAATCTTTTTTAAAAATTCCCTATATAAAGGCCCCCATTTCTAAGCACCTTCTTATGAAAGGTCTTAAACTTTGTGTTTCCATAAATTCCTCCAAGATCTAGAGATGTTTTGTTTTTTCGACCAGGTAGTATGATCTTTATGGTGAAAATTCAATATTTTTTCCCACCCCCAAATTCAATACTTTAATATATTCTCTTGAACAAGGACTTGCCAATAATTTCTGGCCATGGTCAACAAATAAAAGTGATCATGGGGCCTCCCTGGTGGCGCAGCGGTTGAGCGCTGGGTTGTGAAGCTGCCCGCAGCCTCTGCAGCACCGGTTCGATCCCCGGCTGCTCCCCGGCCACTGGAGGAGGGTCCCACATGGTGCGCAGACCTCTCCTGCCGCCCGCTGCTCCCCTCAGCAGTGTACTTTGGTTCTTCTGCCTGCTCTGCTCCCTGCTCTGGCTCTGGTGAATTCTCTCACCCTCCCACGCTTCTGACTGTACCCAATGCTTGTATAAATAAATAAAAATAAATTAAAAAAAAAAAAGTGATCATGAATCAAGTCTAGCTTTGTGAAACCAAGCCTTTGTTTCCCTGGTGCATTTCTGCCACTGGCGCAGATAGAAACCTTGGGGAAATGTCTCTGCCTTGATGAAATGCCTTGTGTAATGGTAAGTGGGTTGTGGTGGTTTCCATATGGCCAAATCAGGATTATCAAATTTGAAGGGATTTGTTTATCAAAAAAGCAATCTAACATAAATGCAGGGTACTGTGTCCGAAGTGAATTGCATATAAAATGCTCTCACATGTGTTTGTAGAACATTGATAGGAAAGGTAGGTGAATGGGAAGTGTGAAGAGCGAAGAGGTTGTCCCTACCCTGGGGATAGTTCTCATGTTGGGATATGGGTGTCACCCTGAGGAATCGCCAGTTGGATGGTTCCCTGAACTTTGGATACCCTGGAATTTCTGTAAAACTACTTTGGACGTAGGAATCTGAAGAGGTTCAGCATCCTTAATTCCCTAGGACTGGTCCATCAGTAGTATTGCCTCTTTATTGTCAAGAGGCAGAAAAGCAGAGTGGTTTGCCTGTCTCCAGTGAGAGGTTTTGCTACATCTCTCAAAAGAATGTTGACAGCGATACACTTCCCTGTCCCTGAAAAAAGGTGTAGTTCTTACTAATAGTTCTATTAGTATTTGTGTTATTTCTGTTTTTCCTTTTCCCCTGGAATTTGGATAAACAGTGATTGATCAGGACTCTACACATTTGTTACCCTAGTACACAGCACAGGGTTCAAGCTCAGCGGATGTGAGTTCTTGATGATGTCTAATTCCCAACTTCTCTTCACAGCAAGTGAGAAACAGATGGCTGTGGTGTGTAAGGAGTCGCCAAGGGAGTACCTCCAGCCTTTCAAGGACAAACTAGAAGAGTTCTTCCAGAAAGGTAGGAAGCTGTGTCAGCTGCCCATACACCGTCCTCCGAAACAGCTTTCATTGCACAGATTTGTTTATGGGGCTCCTCCCCTTGCATTCCACTGACCCCCTGTAGCTCCAGCGATTCCTGACAGCCTGTCTCCCTAAAGTTACATTCTCAGTGTAGATGGAGTCAACCTATAACTTTATATCACCTTTAAATCCATTTTAACATTTGAAATCCTTTAGGCTTACTCCTGCCTTGTAAACTTTTTGAGGAAAGACTTTTTTGTCTCTTCCTGTAGCAACAGAGGAGCTTTCATACATGCACCCCAATAAACAGGGTATATGCAGAGCTTATGCTATCAGGCACTTCAGATCTGAAGGTCAGCCTGCATGGGGGATGCTGATTATCTGCCTGGTTTTATGAATGTAACAAGTGGGACCCTTGGGTTGTTGTGTTGTATTTTCTATTCATTTTCAAAGGTGAAAATTAGCGCTGGGTAAATGTCACAACCCATCTCTTGGTCCCCGTCAGCTCTTGGAGGTTTAGTAGATGGAAGTGTGATAGGCATGAAACCTGACGCTTTTTTTGAACTCTTACCACATCATGTTCCTTCCTCCATGATTTTGACCGGACTAGTAGACTTTTGCTGAGCACTCTTCCTGTAGTTGGACACTTAGTAACTTTTGGATATTTTCTATTCTGATTTCTCAAACTCAGCTTAAGACGTGAAACAAAAACAAATGAGGCACAAACTTCCCTGTTCTAAAGTAAGTCCCGGGAGGTAATGCACAGTGTGATGACTGTGAACAATACAGTAGGATGTGTTTGAAAGTTAAGAAAGTAAATCATAAAAGCTTTCATTGCAAGAAAAAAAATCTGAAACTTTGCTTGGGGATGAATATTAAAAAGACTTATGGTGCAGTTCATGTCACAATATATTCATGTAGAGAATCATTCTTGTACTTCTGAAACTAATATGATGTTATATCACAATAGAGAAAAAGTCAGCGTGGGGTGGTTAGAAGGACTTTTTGTCTTTGCTAGAAAGCCGGAGGAAAGACATGTCGGAATCTTTGGAGATATATCAACATGCTGTTTCTATTTATTAATAAGGCTTATGATGCCATACCACCCGCAAAAGACCATGGGGGAAATCCTTAAAGTCTGGCCAAACCACCTTGGGAATTGGCAGGGACATTCTCCAGCTCTGAGTCAGAGGAGCACCAGTCCAGCTGTTCCCTTGGTGCTAGCAGCCTGATGAGGCTTGTTTGTGTTGAAGCAGAAGCCAGAGTTGTCCCTTGGCCACTGCTGAGCCTCAGACATCATGGAAGTCACGCCATCAGGCAAAGGACCACTTTGCAAGCAAACAGTGATTCCAACACTTATGTGTTATGTGACCAAATTAGGTGGTTTATATGTGAATTAATCAAAGGAGATGCCTTGCTATATGATTATGCCATGAAAACATAACCTAAATCACCTGGAGAAAAGCATGAAATTCCTTTCTTTTCTGACCCCCCAATTAATAATGTAGGCATGGTGCCCATGTAGAATTAATTTGAAATGAGGTTCATGTGTACTTAGACCATTATTTTGAATTGATATTATTCAGTATCAGTGAGTATATAGCTCAGTATTGTCTGTCTGGTACTACATTATAATGACCACTAATTCTTTCTTTTCAAAACATATTATTCTTTGAGTGTTTTAAGAGAAAAGGTAAATATAAGTGGACTTTGAAAATCATCTTCAGTGCCTAGGGAAAGGAATTTGCAAATCACCATCTGGGATTATGTGTTAATTTCTGTACAAGGTTTCTCAAGAAATTTCCAGTCTGTTCTGAGAGAGGGAATTTAAGTTGAGTCAAACTGGACCTATAGCTTGTGAGTAAGGGCGTGGCCAATAATAAGCTGTTCTAAGGAAGCCCCAAATCAGGGGTTCTCAAACCTGGCTGCACACCAGAGTCACCCTCGGGGAAATGTTACAACATGTTGACATCCGAACTGTACTACAAAACTACCCCTGCACATCTCGGGGTAAACTCCAGCATTAGCTTTTTTATTTTCACTCATGCAATTCCACGGCGCAGTCCAGGTAGAGAAACCATGTTGGTGACTTTAGTTCACCTTCTAATATGTATTCAAAGATCTAAAGTTAGAGCCTGCTATACATTTCAAGAGCTATCACTGAATCAAGGACTCAGCTCCTTCAACCAACACAGTGAAGGAAATGTGAGAAGCACATGAAAAATAACTTCAAATCATGGTTAAAAGAAAATCAGCCAAATCAAGGCCCAAAAGAGGGCTATAGCTCAGGGGTAGAGCATTTGATGTAAAACAAGGCACAAAACAGAATTTGAAGGACAATTACCATTCCATAAGAATTTGAAAATATAGAAATAAATCCTAACTATCCCCATATTGTGTGGTAAAAAATGTCACCTGAACGAGTCTGCTACTGTTGTCTTATTACTTAACTGACTTGACCAAAGCATAGTCTGGTCTGTACTATTTGCAGTGGCAGGCACTAGCCACTTGTGGCTATTGAGCAATTGAAATGTGCCTAGTCCAGAGAGATACGTGCTGTCAGGGTATAAAACACACACAAGATTTTGAAGTCTTAGTGCCCCCAAACATGTAAAATATTTCATTTCTGTTTTTTTAACATGAGAAAATAAGATTTTTAATATACTGAGCTAAAGACATAGCATATATTAATATCAATTTACCTTTTTTCATTTTTAAGCATGGATAGTAGAAAGTAGTTTTAAATGACATATGTGGCGTTATATTTCTGTTGAACAATAGTGTAGAGAGTTGACCTTACACATCTCATTTCTTCACTCGCCTTTCCATTGTTCTGCTAGTTCTCAGCTTAGATCGTGAATTTCTGGAATGTAGGCAGTTTCACAAGCCCCTCGGCACTTAGCTTTGGGTCTGACTGTTATTTGGCTTTCAGGCAGGAGGGCTGAGCAGAAGGACATGGCAAAAGGTTACTTGTGGGTCTGAGGCAGGACTTTCCCATATTGCAGTGTGTACAGATAGATTATCTCTTGGCTACTGCAGAGTTCTTTTTTTATGTAGATGTTTCACTGGTTCATGGAAAATGTAGGATATTGCATTTACCATAAATATGCATTATCCAGCCTGGAAAATCGAATTGTTTTTTTAGTAATTATCATACAATGTAAATATAGTAGCTCAGGGGCCTCCCTGGTGGCACAGGAGGTTGAGACACAACCTATGAAGCAATCCGCAGCCTCTGCAGCACAAGTTCGATCCCCGGCCTGCGAGAGAGCTACCTACATGGCGCAGCAGACCTCTCCTGACTCGCCCGCTGCTCCCCTCAGCAGTGTATTTCAGTCAGTCTTCCTGTTCTGTTCCCCCACTCTGTGTCTAGTGAATCCTCTCAGCCTCTTGCAAATCTGGCCTGTACCCTGGTTCTTGCATAAATAAATAAATCTTTAAAAACAAAAATAAATAAGTATAGTAGCTCATCAAATGTGCCATTCATTATGAGAAACACCATCATTATAAGCACTAACAAGATATAAAAACTGCTGTCAATATAACCATGACTTGTATTAATATACCCCAGTATAATAAATACTAAAAATATGAGAATTCTACCATTTTGAAGTTGATGTTCTATAGTATTTTAATTAGACATATGGGACCAGGAAGAGGGATGCCTAGCACTTCCAGGTAAGTCAGGGAAGACCCACACCCTATATGGGTCAGCTCCCTGGCCAGGGATCCGGTTCATGCCACAGCAGTGGTCGTGCTGAGACTTAACCCCTAGGCCACCAGGGTAGCTGGATTTGTTTTGTTTTGTGTGTGAATCATCTGCTCTTTTGTGTGGTTAAGAAATACATTGTAACTAAATCAACACAAAGAGTTGGAATATTAAAAAGCCAGAAGCCATGCTCTCAAGCTGTTCATTAGTAGTCCAGGCAAATGACAGTAAGAACTGGGCCAGAAGCAATCACAGTAAAAACAGGAAAGAAAGGGATATATTCATAAAGCTTTTAGGAGTTACAGGACTGTGTGAACCCCTTCGGACATACAAAAAAGAAAAGAAAAATGTATGACACTCCTTTTTCTTGAGGAGAGAAGAATAAAGTTCCTTTTTCTTCCTTGAATAACTGTCTGGATACTGATGAGGAAGAAAGGATTTGGGGTGGAAAACAGTATGGTAAACTTTGGACACATTGACTTTGACATAAGTCTGAGCCACAGAGCTGGAGATGCGGAGGCTCTTGGGAGAGTGCTGAGTGGGGCTTTACAAGGAGCGGTCGATCGCAGGGAACTAATAAGGCGACCCAAAGAAAGGGTGCAGAACGAGCTGTCCTGCAGTAGCTGATTATCTGAGCACAGGCTATTCTATAATAACCATAATGAAGAAAAGCTAGTATACTTCCAAGCTTCTATTATAATTACGTATCTGGCAGGAAAGCCAGTTTTCTACTTGGGTTCTTATCACTCATGAATGCTTAAGCAATTGTGATCTTTATGCCAGAGAAGTCACATGCATCGTGACTCAGTTGATCCAAGGTTCGGCTCCTTTTTACATAAGCTGCAATTCAGTTCTTCCAACAGTTGTGACGATCTAATATTTCTTTTGCAAATCATATCCTGTTGCCACACTCCAGTGGAGATGATGTGTTTGTCCTGAAGTTTTATCATCCTTCTCTTCTCGCAACGCTCTTTCATAGTGTTATTTGACAAAACTGTGGTACTTAACCAATTTCATTTCCTGCACAGAATTGAAAGTAATTTTAATGGCACCACTTTTCAGAGTTGCAATCTCCCACAGTATCTAAGCCTTTTTCCTTACATGGTTTTCCTTTTGCACAGTAGGCTCTCGTTGATTCCAATTTACAGCTCAGTTCAGAGTAACCTTGTTGCAGGCATTACTTGAGCTCATGTTTTCCCACCCTCAGATCAAACATGGTCATAATGATATGGCTTTCAAAACTGTGATGCTCGCATTAAAAGTCCTCATAAACATGGCAGGGATCCTGT